CCCCTTATTCCTTTCCAGCTTGATAAGAGCCAAGGACGGATGCCATGTGGTATGACAACAGTACAGAATTGTTCTCTTATCCTTCACTGTACCTTGTCAAGGCAGTAGCAGATAAGTCAGAGCAAACTGGATTTCCTCACAACCTCCCTGATAGCTTCCCACTCCTGAAGGAAAAGCAAAACCAGTCATTTCTGCAGGAATGTGGCAAGTAAATTTTCACATGTTCTTGGCTCATTGTGCCTATCAGAGATGGTAATCACAGAGAATCAAAAGAAACAGTGACAAAGTGGGGATAATAAAATACTTCTGAAAAACCACAATTTCATAATCTTAATTCAAAAAAGTTTGCTAGCTTTGAGAGGAAACTGGGTATGAGGACAAAAATGCTAGTTTAAACAGAGAAAATGTTTCCAACAACCTTTAGAGTTGCTTTTTTGAGCTGTTCAGCAGTTTGCTGTACTTTCAGAAGTTGCCTTTGAGGAAGTTTTCCCATGAGATAGAATCTCTCTTTTCTGGAAGCTGAGCAACATTTGCAAGTAGTTATTAGAGAGCTGCATAGATCTATGTGAAAAACAACATCAGTAGTAATTACAGAGACAAAAGGTTACATCCAGCTCTGCTGCTCAGGTTTCTGTGCAGAGCTCTGTTTTGGTTGCACAGACAGACTGCAGCTGGTTCAAGGAAGGGAGAGATGCAAAGAGCTTCCTGATTCCTTCCGCTCACAGTGTGATGGCTCTCCAGTATTCCTAGGCATTCTCTACTTAGGTGGTCGAGGGCCTGGGCGTCATGGGTAAGTGCTGTTTCATTCTCACCAGTGAACAAGGACTTTGTACCAGCTGTGTTTAGAAAGTGGCTTCCACCTCTGTCCAGCTGGCAGTGGCAGTTATGAGATTGTTGAATCTAAGAAGATCTGCTAGAACAAAAAATGATCACTCTAGGCTGTATCAGTGTTTAGTGCAGATGTAAAACAAGTTTAGCTGTGGGAAAGGGGTGCATGTAACAGACAGCAGCTGTATTTACCTCTTGGGCTAATCAAATCTACGCCCTTGGTCTTCTGATCAGAAAGCAGATTTCTAGTTCAGTGATATACCTCGCAGCTGTCGATTTCTGATTTTCTAATGAACCAAAGGAGGGTTCACCATGGGGAGAAGACCTCTGCAAAAACAAAAGGCTGCGAGTCTGTTATAACTTGGGCACTACCAGTTGTCCCCCTCTCTTGCCTTCCTCCTAACACTTTATTAATAAGGGACAAAATAGGGCAGGAAGCAACAAGACTCCAATTCTCAGAGATCGAGACCTTTCAGCCTCATTAGAGAGGTGGTTTTAGTGTTTGAAGGCAGAAGCAGCTCTGACAGATTGTTGGCTTTTCTTTGAAAGAAATTCACCTCAGCTCTGATGAATGTAGGACATTGCTCTTTGCATCTAATTTTAAAATTCTGGAAAAAGTAGCCATGTCTGTCATTGCTGTAGGAGAGGAAAAATGTGTGGGGGAGAGACAGGAAAAGAGACAGAGAATTTTGTGGTTCCTTGGCTGAGGGACTTCCAAAAGGTAACAGACCATCAGAACAAAATTTCAACAAGGAACTTTTAAAGCATTTCCTGAGGGAAAAAAAAATTAATTAAGAAGTGCTCAGTGTTCAGAAAACCCATGTGGAAATCTAATTATTCAAATAGGACTTCACATGTCAGGCTGGCATCTGGAATCAAGAAACTGGTGTGCGAGACAGAGGGCTTGCTTCCAGCCTCAGTATGAGCCCTGCCTGACACCTGCATGGCTGAGTCTGCCCGCCACTTCCCACCATGAGACTGTCTTCCAGTTGTTTCTGAAGAGCTGAGAAAATGCTGCCAGACATTAGATGTTCAGGCTGAAACTTTCCACGCCAGATGTCTGCCTCAAAAGGATTCTAATAATTTTTCTGCTTTCTCTGCCAAAATGGTCTGACCGCAGTTGAGGATGAAGCACCTTCTTCATCCGTGCAAAAAAACATTGTCTGGCAATCTCATCTTTGCAAATGTTTGGCGTTTCCCTGCTGTAGATCACAGATGTGAGGTTTTGACACCTGAGGAACCTTTGTTGGCCCAGATGTGTCTGCTGCTGTCTCTGCAAAAATCCACCCAAATGTAAAAATCTCCAAGAGCAACAGCAGGGACCTGCCAGGGTTTAGCAGCTAGACACTCACCAGATGGAGTCTGTGCTGACCCCACTCCATTCAAGAGCAGAGGCACAGCAGGTCCACCCCATGGGAATCAGAACAGAGGAGCTGCCCTTCCTCTCCTTCAGGCCACTGGGGTAGGGCAGCCAGGGAAGAGAAGCTGCTGGATTTGCTTGTTGAAGGGGACATGAACACTGATGGAAGAGGGCAAGACCTGGCCGAGGAGGCTGAGAGCATCCAGGAAGATCAGGACTAGAAAGTGAGGTCAGGAAAAGGAAAGCCTTGAAGTCGTGATCACAGAGACAAAGTGAGAAGCTAGGAATGGAAGAGCAAAGGGTCAGAAATGACCAGAAAGCAAAAGGGTCTGGTAGTGCTGTCTCTGAGAAATTTGGACAGACCTCCTAAGAGTCTGAGAGAGAAGCAGGACATCCTCATCCAGAAGAAAGCAAGTAGGAAGGGGAGCAGCACATGGAGAATGTGAATGGGAGCCCAGTAGGGAAACAGAGCCCAAGTCCTGGAGGTGAGGGAACACAGTTCAAATGCTGGGACTGGAACAGGTCAGGAATGGAGAGAGAAGGGAGTTGGGCCTGGCAGGCAGGGAAAACCAGCCTTGGTGTGCACATGTTGGGGGGAGAAGACTCCTGTACCTAGAAGAGGATGGAATTTCTGAAGGGTGGGAAAAGCCAAGCACAACAGAGATACTTGCTGAATCATGGCAGCTTATATGTTCACTGCAATAATAAGGATATATGCAGAATATAAGATAAGGTAATATTCAAATCTTTAGCCCCCCAAAACTCTACCACATGATACCACACTGACACCACCTGATGGTTTAAAGCATCACCACGTTTAAAACTTCAGGTGTCCTGGGCAGCGCTCAGCTACTTGAACTCATACAACAGGGAGGAGAGCGGGTTGCTGGTGGTTAACCTTTCTTGGGTCTCATTAATTGCATATTACCTGCATTCTGACATAGTGGTTTTTATCCAGGCAATGCTGCCACAGGTCTTACAGAACTTAAAAAAAAATAAGGTATAGTAGGTGAATGCAATACATCATTTCTGTGTTCTGCAAATTCAATTTCAGGTGCAAATGGTAAGAATAGGCATAACCCTCTATACTGTTAAACACTGCAACGTGAAGGACTTTATGGAGTATATGCACACACTCAAAAGCCCACAGGTTGTTCATGTTCATTCTGGCTTGTTTTAACAAACCAGAAATCTAGCATACTATGTAAAACATTAAAAGAAGAATAATCAGCTTAGCCAAAAATCTCTGTCTACACAAAAAAAACCCAGAACAAGCGAAAAACCAGACTTTTCCTTGTGGGAATCAGCAGCCAGTGAATGTGAAACACAGTCCTTTTTAGTATGATCTACACAATACCTTCGTATATCTAACAGTGGCAACTGACAGTGATTTGTTATTATATACAGCACCCTGTGACTAAGTTGGCTTCTTGAGAGTGGTAGCCAAATTTCAATGAAAACAATTAGAGATGTACGTATGTTGAACAGACAATCCTATCACAGTGAATAAACTATAAACTATTTTAATTGAACAAGAAGAGCTCTTCCACTTAGTCCAGGCAAAGTGGATAAGATTCAAAATTTAATTAAAGGACTAATTAGGAGTTTACTGTTATGTTGAATAAACTTGTGAGGACAGAACTGTAATCACTGCCAATTATACAATGGCTAGTATTCTACATTAGAAGGTGCTTTCTGGTTTAAATAAAGTGACAGCTACATGTAAGAAACCAGTGATTTGTCATGCAGTGCATAAAGGTAATATATGCAAGGCTGATTACTCTGGTCCTAATGCCTTCAAAGGACTGATTGCTAAGGTTGTAAATTAAAAGCTTGTGAATGGTGTGCAGGCAAAGAGGTTAGTCATTAGTCATTCTGAGGCACACATCGCTCACCACTACTAACTTCTTGGGCTGGCAACAGCAGTCTGCAATTGAGCACATAACAGCATTTATTTTCTAAAACACAGGTCAGCCTGCAGTGCAGTTCACAGGCTAGTGTGTGGTCATCTCTTGCAAGCAGGACGTTTTTCTGAAGTGAAAACAAAAATATTAGCTGTTTTGCTCTTTTAATGAAAAACAAATAATTTGTTCTGGACCACACACCAAACTAATCATATTTGGACCCACTGCACATGTAGAAACTTGTCCCAGTTTTTGTTCTGATTTTTCTAAATGATTGTCCTGGATGTTCTCACATTGTCTCAGAAAGTCAGATCTGAAGAATCCTACTCTCAAGGTGAGACTTCAGCTTAAATTTTATGGCATTTATTATATTCAGAAGAAAGCTTACTTTCCAGGCAGTGTTCTCTATTATTACTAGTTGATGCTTATTTTAAGTCCTCAGTAATATCTCCTGATAGAAGAAAAATATTTATCTGGTTTCTGGCAAACAAGTGAACAAGTGATGAACATGTGGGTTTAGAGGAAAATTTTCAAGGATACTAATTCCTGCAATAATAAATACCTGAAATAAGAAAGTGTATTTAATGAGTATTCTAAATACTCTGGTTTGCATTTTTGCTTAGATTTTGCTTTTATTTTGCATGACTGACACTAAAAGTTTAAATAAGAACAAGGTATATGGCAAGTAGTTAATAATAACTACTTAAGACATAAAATATTAAACAGCAAATATGTTCTTCATTATATATTCTCTTTCCTCTATGACTGTTAAATATTTGTGCAACTAAACCATCACATAAAAAACCCTAACCACTAAAACAGCAAAAAGACCACCGCTTTGCACACTGAATGTATATAATTCTGGCAATTTGGATTATTAAGAATGACAGTAAATAAAGATCACCTACCTTCACAGATCCATTCTCATAGTCAGATCCTTGCAGGAGATGTAGAAAAGAAACTATGAAAATATTCACAGTTGCCCACAGTTTGTACATTCTGATGTTTATAATCCAGAGGTTACTATGCAGATGTTGTCATACAGCTAGAGGCATCCGTTTCAAAATGCATTTCTCTATCACCAGTACAGAAAAGCTTCCAGAATTTCTCTTATAAACTCACAAAAGATTCCAACATCCGAGAGCAAATATCTGGCTCCTTACTGCTGAAAAAATAATTGCAAATTCACCTAGAGAATGTCATTTCTTAGAGCAGATTTTAGATACACTTGAAAGAAAACCATGATAAGGGTTTATATATATCTGTATGTATACACATACACGCTCACAAGTGATCAGGTATGGATACCGGTTAATGAAGTTCACATATCTTCCATCAAGACACAAAGAGACATTCAAAATCCATCTGTGGTCCAGAAAATGTAAGAAATCTGCTCTATTCTGTGCTCCGTGTTACAGCAGGCTTTTAAGACGGTAGTGTAGTGGCCAATGTTTTGAGCTTGAAAGCTGTAATCCAGCCCTGTATTAAAACTTTTTTCACAACCTTCATGGAAGCTTGCAGAAGCATGTGTCTTAAATCTGATACAGACTTTGGCAGTAACACAGTCAAACTTTGGCTCTAATCCCATTTTGTCCCTACCAATAGCATAGCAGTTTTTAAACTAACTGATGCAATCTGGACTCTCATTATTTTAAAGAAGATTACCTGAAACATGAAACTTCAACACACGTTCTTACACAGCACACACATTTTATGCTATTAAAAAAAAAAAAAAAAGAAAAGAAGAGGAAGGGAAAGACTGACTTTCTTTAATGTGTTCTGTCTTATGTTGTATAGGTTTTCTGGATAGATTTTTAAAAGGAAAGTTGAAAACAAGACTTTTATTTTTGTAATGAAACCTTATAAAGCTACAGATATAAAGGAAAAAATCTGTTGTTATTGCTGCAAAACACAATAATTATTTCTGCCCCAATTTGTGCATGCATTTTCTCTGTATATTCCCACAGTTTATAATGGAGATTCTAAAATTGGAGATCTAACATTTAAAATTGTAACATAGATGAAGGCTCTGATAATTATGCATGTTAAATCTATATTGCTCTAATAATATACTGTGTTAAGGAGGGTAGTTCTGCTCTCACATGGCTTAGTGTTTAGAGAATCAGACTATACAGTTGTTAACATAAACCAGTCACATATCTAATATTTCAGAGCACTGGTTTTCTACTGCTGTGACATCCAAGCAGTAGCTCTCTTAAATACAAGTCGTCCTTCTGTAACTATCATTAGCTTGCATAATTTCTCCTTAAGTATTTGTCATAAATGGGCATTGGAGAGAAAATTATTTGAACACAGTCTGTAAACTGAGTCATTATCTTTTAAAAACATATGTAAAAACTGTGTGATTTTTTAGCTTTTGCCTTATGCCTCTTGTTCTTATTTTTGGCCTCCTCCCCCACCCACCCCACACTGTTTTGTACAAGGTCAGCAGGAATTTCACCTCTTTGAAATCTGTGTGAAAAAGCTGCTTTCTTTGTGTACCTGCTTCTCCCCCTCAAACCTTTCCGGTGTCCAGGCTGACAGTCAGAGTCAGTTTCAGAGGCCCCATGCTAAAAGGGACATTCTGTGTCTGTACTTTGGTTTACTGTTAAAATACTTTTAACTATTTCATTCATCATTTTAAATTAACACGTTACCTAATGCTTATGTATGGTCCCCTTAACCCCTTGTAATGTCTCTGTTTCCCTTCTGATACTAGCATCCATCTCGTTGCAGGAGCTGAAAGCCTTGCTGAAATAAATGAATAATGCTTTAGCCTCTGATGTACTGCTTAAGCGTAAGGGATCAAACAGAAATAACCACCATCCTCTCAGGACTGTGTCATAATAATTTTCTTTGACCTGTAGAGTGTCTGGCCATCAGCGTCTTTCATGTATGGAATCATTATTTGAAGCACAGACCCAGATTCACAAAACAGGCAAGAAACAATACATGCCCTCATGCCCTAAAGCCTGCTGTGTACGATACTCATGCAGCCCGTCTTCAGCACCCTTCGGGGATGAGCTGCTCTGTTCCCCTGGCAGGGCTGGTGCCAAATTTCATCAGCCAGACCAGGCACCCATAGCCAGCCTTCCCTCCAGCCATCAGCCAGACTGCTTCTGTCCTTCTCACAGCCATCAACTCTCCACTTCATAACTTGGCAGAAACAAGGGAAAGCCCAGGAGCCACACTGAGGTTTTTAAATACCAGCTATGAAATTTCTCCCATCAGTTCAGCAAGTGTTTAACTGCTTACATGAAGCAAAACAGTTCTGGTGGGGAAAACGAAAAGCACCTGTGGTGGTATGTTCTGCAAATCAGCAAGGAAGGCATGTTTCTGAAAACAAGAGCACAGCTCAGGCCTCTGCTCTAAATCAAGAAGCAAAATAATTCAAACCCGAGGGGTCTCACTTTCTCAGCCTCACAGTGAAGTTGGTGATTGCCTTTCTGCCCTGTGAGACACACAGACTGTATGTAAGGGACTGTTAGCAATCTAGCACTAGAAAATCAAGGCTGCTTGTGTTGAAAATATCGGAGGGAAGCACCTCAGTCATATTTTGTGTGTGTTCTAGTTCGTCACTGTTACTTACCAAATTCAACTCCGAATACATCTGGAAAGATGAATCTTTCTCAAAGCAAATGGTTGATCAGAATGGTTCACCCAACTCTGTCTTTTTGGCAGAAAGACTGAACTTAGCCTGAGGCACTGAACCAAAATTGTTTACAAGAGCAAGTTAGATGCCGCAGGCAGAGACAAAAAAAACCCTATTCTCTCCCTTAGGCCACAGACACAGACTAGCAAAGAGGAAAAAAAAACCCTTTTGTTAACTGCAGAGGACTTTAATTCTAGCTCAAAGTTTTTAGTGAAAGCAAAAGCAAAGCAAGAGAAATCAGTTGACTGGACAGCAGAGCAACTCTGACGAGGGATTGTGGGGAAGCAGTGTTTTTATCATTGGCACCACTGCCCCCATCCCTTTCCTTATTGCTCTTGTCTCTCTACTCCAGTTCAGGATATGAATCAGTGCTCCCTCCAGCACCATCTCAGCCCTGCTTCTCACACAGATTTCTTGTGATTTTTCCTGCCTACTGCTGCACTGAGAGCAATTTAAATACTTTTGTGTTGAAACTCAAAACTCAGAAATATGTTGAGATTATATTGCAGGCTCCCTACAACAGCAGAGAACAGAATTCTGTCTGACCAGACACTTCCTAAGACTATGCCCTATGTTTTAATTTAATGTATGAACAGAAGTTAACAATACTTACATTCTAGTTTCTTGGTTTATCTGTTTGCTATTGTAGAACTACCTGCTCAGTTCTGTGCATGGGTTGGATTAATATTTCTTTAATCTAACATTGTATAAAAAAGTGCTTAAATAAAATTTACATGGCTATTTACATGACTCTTCCTTTGAAGCTGAATAAGCAGCTTCACTGATATCAGCAAGGCTAAATACTGTATATTGAACCAATTCAAACATTTATATCACATTTAGGTGAGCAACTAATAGATTGTGAGCAATGAGTCAGGTCATTGCAAGAAGAACTTAAGAATTTAGTTTAGTCAGGTCTATTTCAAATATTGATCAATACTGATGTCTCAAATGGGTGAAAGAAGTTTAAATCTGTTCATCTGCAAACATGTTGTATAATTTATTCAACAATATTTTAAGCATGGGTCTTATTTCAAAGTAACAGTCTCACAATACATTGCACAGAAACCCTGATTCATTGATTCCCGTACTCCCTTTTTGTGATGGAAGAGAACATATAAAAGACCCAGAACTTGGCAGATGCCCCTAAGAACATACTTAATCATACTTTCTTGGTATTTTCCACTTATTTTTAAGATAGAATATGAAGACCACGTGCAGTTTATTTAACAGAGCTGCTTATTATAGTGCACTGCAGTTTCCATACTTGGGCTCCAGAGCACATAAAGAGAAAAAAGGCCAGTACAGATGACTAGAACCCAAAAACTAGTGCCAAACTTAGCTTACACGTTTCTTGCATGAATACACGTGCAAAGAACAGAATAATTTCATGAAAATGATGAACAACTCATATTCTTCAAGCTGAAGCTCTTTCAGGTGGGACAGTAAATTCATTTGGGTATCTGAAAATGACTTACACCTGCAGATAGGTGCGGACTAGTGATACTATTTGCCTGACAAAACCACCAGAGAAACACATCAAACAAAAACATCTTAATGAAACACAATGTAACAAAACACAAAAGGAAGATTTTTCAGGCCTTTTAACACAAGAGTAAGCCATAAATCAATACGACTACTCAGATCACAGATTTGTGAGGATAAGCCCTAAATAAACTCGAATTTAATCAACCAGTCTCAGATTGCAAGGTTAACTTTGGAGATCAATAAAGGCAGTTCACTGCCTTTACTTTGAATAAAACATTGTTTCACCCAGTACCTCACACTTGAGAACTTCCCACAGTTTCAGTTTTAATGTCAAGGAAATCACATAATTCCCAAGGCAAATCATTAAATAAGTATTTTTAAGATGATTCTATGCGCAGATCTGTACATTTCCTCTAAGTAATCCACATGCAGAGAAACTTTTTTGTCTTGAAAATTACATAGAAAAAAGAAAAATTGTGTCAGCTTCTAAAATAATACTCATGACAGCAATTATGTCACAATTCAAGGTCACTCATTACACATTATTAAATTCATTATCAAGTAACTATTAAATCAGAAATATTATTTTAAATAAAGTGATGTTTAGTATGATGTCTACTGACATCAGAAATTTCTATCAAATAGCAGAAAGCTTGAAAGATCACACCAAATGCTAAGCTGGATCGATAACATTTAGAAAAATATGCAAAATCTGATCTTGCAGAGTCTCAGACTCAGAGCCTGATGGGAATCTTATGAAGCTGTGCTAGTGGAGTGATGGGGCAGTACCACGCAGCTGCCCCCAGAGCCAGCCCTCACAGCACCCAGGATGCTGCTTCATCTTATAGGGTTACACTTTAGCTACCCTTAAATTAGATACCATAATCATCTACTTGCTGCAGCAAAATGAGAGCTTAATGCAGGCTGAAAAACCTGATGGAGAAGCGGGCCAGCCCAACTGGGTACTGTGCCTCTACTGCTCTCCAGGCTGTGGTGGCTGAGCTGCTATCCATACCTCAGTCTAACTAGCTAAAAGGTCACTGGGGAGCATCTACACAAGCTGCAAACACACCCTTGGCTGAAAGGCAGTCATACTCTTAGCATCAGCAAACACAAACCAGCATATTCACCCATTCAGCTGTCAGCCATGCCATGCTGCAGCCCAGCTCAGAGAAGGGATGCTGCTGTTGAAGGCATGCAGCAGGAGGAGAGCTGTCAGCAAAGGGCAGATAAAGATCACAAACATTTCTAGTTGAGCTTTTGAGGAATGAGCACACCTTTAACTGCTCTATCTTTGAAAGGCTCTGCCCCAGCCTTGTGAAGAAGAGCACAGCTGCCTTGTTGTGCTTCTCTCTAGTTCACATTGTAATGCCTAATGCCTTAAAAGATCAAAAACT